AGAGAGAGAGAGAGAGCCGAATACACATTTTCAATAGATATGAAACGAAGCGAGATTGCGCAGAACTAACCCCCGACACTATTTCCCGTAAGAGGAATTACCTCCGTCCGTATCCGGCGCAAGCCACAGTTACTCTCGTTACACCTCGGCTCTCCCTTGATCACATCGTCGATTCGTGTTCCACAACCAACTCTGGCCCAGGTAGCACAAATATTGGCACGATAGTTCGTGTCGTAACCCCACAGAGATAAAGCTAATATCGCGATGAAATACCGATATTTCCGAACGTCAATTCAGCACTTTTGCTTCCAATGATATGATATTTAGAGTTAAAACCCGGCCTAAATCGCATGCACGTCGCGCCAAAGTGGCCATTAATGCTTCGGCATCGTCAGAAGTTAACTGTATTACACATATATCCCCTCCTCGTTTAAAAGATTTAATGAATTCACTATCTAAAAATCTAATATCCCCGTGCACCGATTTTTTTCTTTTTTTTTTCATTTTCCCTCCCTCGCCTTTTGCCAATAGATATTACTTTGCGAGATAAAACGCCACGTTTAAATAATTCCTCCCTCTATATATTTATAGGAAGTAAAGTGTATTGTTTAAACATTTCGGACTGATAATGGATGAAGAAAGTTGAAAAAACAATTTTGCACTGAGAGAACATTTGGGTCAGCTGTGTATATAACCGTGTTTACTTTTGCGAACACTTCATTTCGATCGAGAGAGAGAGAGAGAGAGAGAGAGAGGAGGGAAGGGGGGAGGGGGAGGGAGGAGACCGGACGGCGGTCGGCCGGCGTGTATCTTCGTTTTATTTCATCTACTTGACGTTCCGTTCCCGGTTCGTCTATTACGTTCCCGGTCCGTTATACTAACCTTCCGTTATTTAGTGGCTCTCATCTAGTCGGCGGCGCAGACGTACGTACGTACGCGGAGAGAGAGAGAGAGAGAGAGAGAGAGAGAGAGAGAGAGAAGAGAGAGAGAGAGAAAGAGAGAGCAACTTATAACTTGCAGTTATCGAACGCAGCCTCGAGACCCGAAGTCTTCCAGTTTTTGTTTGACATACCACGCCGAAAGAGCGAAGGGCGAAGAGGGAGGTTAAGGATGGAGGTATCGGCTAATTTAAAAGTTTCCGGGAACTCGTCTACCGCTTAGTAGCCTCGGCAAAGCTCGTTGCAGGCACCGTGCATACGATCTTCACCGCCTTTTGGCGAACGCTTGTCGCGAGCGTGCCCTGCTGCGTCATGCCCCGCTCGTTTTTCGGCTCTAAATGATAGTTACGAGAAATAGGTATTGCATGCGGAGAACTCTTGCGGAGAGTAATTAATTCTGGGAGGTAACCGAGGACGTGCCAGCCAGCAAAATTCCTGCGACGACAAACCCGAATCGTACATTTTGTCAGGAAGCGCGACCTTTATATAAAATAAAAATTTAAATAAATAATACAAATAATTAATAAAATAAAAATAAAATCTTTTTTTATATAAAATAAAATTAACGCTCTGTTTGTTACAGGTAAGCCGCAACCGATGGTTAGATGGCTCATAAACGGCCGGGTGAAAGACGAGGAATACGAAAATAATGCCGGAGATGTAATCGAAAACAGGTATGATCATGTCTGTGATTGTTCTTGGTTATATAAGTGACGGAATATTTAGTATTACGCGATAAAGGATTTTTCTTTCATAACTGCACTATTAATTTCACATATCTATTTTATTTCTCCGATCACCGACAGATTAACGCTGCAGCCCATCAGCCGTTCTGATCTCGGCTCAAATTTCACCTGCGAAGCGCACAACACGGACTTGGTGGATCCGAAGGAGACATCGATTTCTCTGGATCTCAACTGTAAGTGAGAATCGCTTAAGTAGAACAGATCTCTTCTCTAGAAAAAAAAAATAATATATATATATACATGAAAAAGAAAACTTCCGTAGCACAAATTTGCGCTTCCCTCCGCGTACAATAGCCAAATACTTTTATTAAAAAGATGGGAGACTAACGGAAACAAAGATGGGAAATATAAATTCTTATCGCGCGGCTAACAAATCAGAGGTTTCGCCCCTGAGCCTATCTTGTCTCGCATTAACGATAAAATCTACGAGACACCAAAAGTGGGCCAACATCCTTTGCTCCCTCGCCGCTGGGCCGATGTCGCCTTTAAGGGAAGATAAGACGAGATAAGACGAGAAATATATTAAATCCACCCTCTCCGAGCCCCGCCCGGCTCGTTCTGGGAGAAGGAACGGGAAGAAGCATGAAAAGCGAGACTATCCTCTAGGCTCCGCGAAATTAGAATTCTTCGTTAACCCACTCTAGGGGCGGGTTAAGGGCGAGGCGTGGGACGGGGATGAGGTGACGTGATCCTAATTACGAGACCGAAAAATTGGCGAGCGGAAATCTTATCTCGCGTCTGTGTCTTATCAGTGGCAGCAGTCGCGCGACAGATCTGCGACACGATGAGATTTTTTCCATTGACGTCCATTGACATTGGGAGCCGACTTGTTACCACTTTTCACTCCGCGACCCTTTCACCTCGATTGCCATCGGTCGATGATGCGATTGCTGGCTCTTGATTCGATTAGGCCGTTATCCATCACCGGCGTCCTTGCAAGAATTCCATCAGTCTTGCCTCTTTTTACGTGTGTATTATGAAAGCGGACATTTCGCTTTTGCGCGGGAGAGGGACGCATACGGGGAAGGGAGGGGAAACGAGAGTGATCGATACGGTGTCCGATAATCAGGTCCTCCAAAAATCACGGATTTTTCCATCGAGGTTACTAACGAAATTTCAGGCCGGTTATCGATGAGAGCAAAGAGCGAGTCCAACGTAGCGGCGAATAAAAAAAATTGCAGATTGAAGCGATCAGAGAGGAAATCATGATGAGGGCGGAGGAAGGACGAGGCCCCGGGATCTAGCCTAAACGACGAATGCCAGCGCTCTTTGATTTTCGTTACTTCGGCAAAGCACCCGCGTCCACATCCGATGCGTATTTATTCCCGTCGTTATATTTTATTTTCCGCGAAATAAAAATTGAAAATCGAGTTTCGAAGAAACGGGTCGTCCCGCACTCGGGCGCTTCGGGGCAACTCGCATCAGTCGCCGAGATTGCCGCATCGACGAACACATCGGAGTATCTTATTAACTTTGAAAGTTGATTAAACTTAGAAAACATTATCGAGACAAAGTTATTGTTCCAGAGATCCCGTACTCGTTCATGTTACATCGTATCGTATTGTACGTTACACTTTTTTAGCTTTGCGCGCGTAGTTATTTTATAAATCTATAAATTCAATTTTTTACACAAAAACGCCTAAATGCAATGCAAATTTTATGTTTATATAACTGAATAATTACCTCTAATAGAATCGCCCGTGTTTTATATTGAATATTTATTCTAACAAAAAAATAACACATCGCCCATCGTTTCGGTGAAATAACTCAATTACGCAAATGGGACGTTTGTATCGATTGTCCGTAAACAATTTATTAGGGGAATCGATAATATCAAGATAAAGTTTAATAAATAGTTGCCACTATTATCGGAGTAAGTTGCAAACAGCGTATGGAAATCTCTATTCACAGTTTTCATATTTCACGAACGAACGAGTCCGTATCTAGTCGACACCAGCGAGCGAATTGGAAACCTAGATTTATTGGCCGTCAGAACGATCGTCACTTCGCGAGTAAAATTTAGGACGGCGCGGTATTTCTGCGTTTCGTGTATACGAGCACACGGCAAAACTTGACGAGGCGGAAAAAAAAAGGCAAATTATTAATAATGGATCAGAAACAATGATGACGAAAGTCGGTGATGCGCCAACACGCGATTATCGCGAGAGACAACACCGCGCTACGTATTTATGTATCGTATTTACTAAATATTCATTCTTTGTACAAAAATATTTGCCGAATAAATGTTCGTAAAATTCATCGCCCGTCCATCCGGACAATGTCGAAAATATTTGTTTAACTTACGCAATTGTTTCAACGTTGCGCGCGACCGATACGACGCGAAAATGCCGATGCCTCGTCCAGCAGAAATGAAGGTTGGCTGTAGGTCGGCAATTTATCATTTTATAACGCGAGATCCATTTCAGCGATTTGACACGGGCATAGCTAGAGCCCTCATATTTTCATCGGTTATTTTTAATTCCTTAAGGCAGAACATTGACTTTTCATTTAAAATAGAAATTGCCGATATTTTTATATTTATATTATTACAAAATTTCAAAAACGACTAAATCTCGATTCTTGACATATTGATATTTTATATTGAGATATACGTCAGAGATTTTCTAAAATATTTATTACGTAGAAAATCTTCACAAGAAAGAAGTAATCAAAATTTTATCGAATAATAAATTCCTAATAAGTCATTAGAGAAAATAAAAATGTGTTATATGTAACGTATATTAATATTAGTATATAAAAATAACTAATTTAATGTTTCACATTTTTGAAATGATGAATTAAATAAATTACTAATTATACAACATGTCAACTTGAGGATACATTAATTGATATTTTACATTAATTATCACATATATTATATCATAAATTTTAACGTAGAGTATTTTTAAAACATTTAGCATTCATATTCAATTCGTATTTTATCGACTAGTAAAAATTGGCTTGAAAATTTGTGTGTGTTCGCAGCTGTCTTATCAGCGCTTCGAAATTTATCTATTTATTTATCATTCTTTTTTTAGTGAAACCTCTAACTGTGATCATAAGAAGACCGGGTAGGAAAGGAATCGGCAACGAGTCCCTCTTAGCGGGAAAGCGATATGACATGGAGTGCGAGACCACTGGTTCAAGGCCACCCGCGGTGATAACCTGGTACAAAGGCCGGAGAAGACAGCTGAAGCACACAACGGTAAGTAAGAAAAATAAGAAGCGTAACGGCGAGTCGCGCGGATCCTCGACCCCAGAAGTAGCTGCTCCTTATCCCACCCATGGTAGCTTATACCATGGGTATATCCCGTGCCTTTTGTCCCCCGGCACAAAGGCCGCTTTTTCCCCGCTTTCTTTTCCCCGCGACTCGACACGTCCATTATTGTTCCGGTACTTTCGCAAAACAAATGAAGGGCGAACAGCCGAACTCGGACGCGACTAATCCCAGAGAGGCGCGAACTCCCCTCTCCCCCCCTCCCTCCCGGCCGCGATTCGTTCTCGATTAATCAGGACCTGTTTGCTAATACGTTGTTTTAACGCGCTTCGATTCGCGTGTAATTCCCATAGCGCAGGCACGGAGGCACGTAATTAACGGCTAAACTGCTTATTATCCTCCAGTCGGGTCCCCGTTAATTAATCGTCGTCGCCCGACTCTGGGAGTTTAAAAAAGACCGGGTGCAAAGATAACGCGCGATAACGCGTCGTCAGACTCAATTTCGGTTGTTTCCAAACTTTCCAAATTTATAAAGCTTAGAGCTTACTTTCCTCTAGGGGCTGTACTTTCTCGTAAATTCGCACAGACGCCCGTAAGGAACTCTCGTTCCGCGTTAAAAAGTCTTTCGAATCGAAAAAAATCGCACAGGTTAAAGGTTTTTATTAGTATTTTTTTGTGCACTCGGAATTTCAAGAATAATATTCCGACTTGAAATAAGCAGTATAAATAAGCAAATGGAAAAATATTCCTCGCTGAGAGCCACAAAATGCGTTATTCAGCATTCATAATGATAGCTCGGGCATCAGTAGTTTTATCCTACATGCCTGTAAGAGGATACTCGTCGGGGATTTTATCGAAGAGAAGTCTATTGTCTGAATAAGAGTCCTTCGATATGCAGAATACTTAGGGCATTCTTGTTTGCGGCAGCAACTCTGCATGGAAATTGCCACTCGTTCGCGCCAATTAGCTTCGCGTCTGTATCAGACCTGTATCAGATGATGACACTACATATTTCGACGCTTAAAAAATACCCGACGATGACACTACGGATAATATCGAGATATATTTCAATACGCCACGGCGCGAGATCGCACGATCTCGTGTCAATTTTCCATCGACACTTTCGAGAGTTACGTGCTGCTTTCAAGTTTGTTAAGAATGAGACGCTGAGCGGGCGCCGATGACGGGGCGGACGTGAGAGGGGATGCGGGGTTAAAAGGTCGAAACGTCCCGGGGAACCGATAACTACATCCCCCGATAGCGAATCTTTCCCTCGGGAGAGATTCTCGCGAAAGGAGCACAGTCATAAGGCCCGGGAGGGCCGGGACAAAAAAAGGAGGGGGGAGGGGGAGACGGGAAAGCGAAAGAAAGGGATATAAAGACAGAAAGGGGATGAGAGCGACGAAGAAAGAGAGAGAGAGAGAGAGAGAGAGAGAGAGAGAGAGAGAGAGAGAGAGAGAGAGAGAGAGAGAGAGAGAGAGAGAGAGAAAG